CACATGTGCTAAGGTATGTCCTTCATGTAATACTTCACAAGGAAAACTTAGCAGAGAAATGTTAAAAACGAGCTCCATTTAAAAGCTTTGAAGCAAGGTAAATAGGGCACCTCGTAAAATTATACTTGGTTTTGCAAACCAAATATTGGTCTTATTCTAGGCTTTCGGCAAGATACTAGTATCATGAATTGGCCATGTTGCCTTCCAAGAGAAAACACAGTATTGCCAGTATTCCAAACAAAAAGTGATAAAAAAAAAGTTTAGTATTTTTGTCTGTTGCAGTTGCTCTAATAGTGGAAATCCACTAATTTTATTTTTATTCTGAGTTTGGTTATTCTTCGTTAATTGCAAATGAAAATGTTTTTTCATAATGTTATAGAAAGGGTTATCAGAGTCTTGTCACAAACCCTATCTAAGAAATACAAAGGAAGGAGCTTGAAACCTGGGAACACATTGGACTGCATTTCTCAGGGCCAAAAATGAAGGATTTTTAGGTGCCACAACCATTTATCTAGAAGGCAGCCAACTGGACAACTAGAATATGTGTGAAAATGAGTGTCAACCAACTGGTAGGCTATGTCTGTTGTGTGGAGTTAAAGTCAAATTTGTTTGACTGGCGTGTACCCTTAACCACTTCCCGACCGGCCGTTGTATATAAACGGCCGGACGGTGGCAGTACAGGGTCGGGTGGCCGTCTATAAACGGCCTCCCCGCACCCTGCTTGTGCGCGCTCCCTGGAGCGCGCAGCACCGCGATCCGGTGCCCGCTGTGTCCTCCGGACACAGTGAAACACCGATCGTCGGACGGGACCTCTGTACGAGGTCCCGATCATGTGATCACTGATTGGCCAATCAGTGATCACATGCAAAGTAGTAAGCAAGATGTCACTTCTGACATCATTGCTTACTACGTGTGAAATCTGTGAATGATCACAGAGGTCACATGGTACAAGGCTATTCACAAAAGCCTTGTACCATGTGACAAGCTGTGACCAATCACAGCTCACTCAGTTCTTCTCAATGAGTGCAAGAATGCACACAGAGAGAAAGAGAAATGATTGCTTTTACATCCTATATGGGTGTAAAAGCAATCAGTGTAAAAAAAAAAAAAAATTTTCATCACCCCTCACAAGTAGTACAGTGTCACCATGGTGACACTGTACTGCTAGGGTGACAGTATGTAAAAAAAAAAAAAAAAAAAAAAAAAAAAAATATAAAAATGTAAAAAAAAATGTTTAAAAATTATAATTTTTGCTTATAAACTAATTTGGATTTTTTTTTTTTACTAAAAAGATAACGGAATAAATTTTGGCTAAGATTTATGATGAAATATTATTTATTTGCAAAATTTTATAAAAAAAACACTTTTTTTCAAATTTTTTGGACATTTCATTTACATAGCAAAAAAAATACAAATCCCAGTGGTGAATAAATACCACCAAAATAAAGCTTTATCTATCTAAAAAAAATGGTAAAAAATTAATTTGGGTACAGTGTTGCATGACAGCGCAATTGTCATTCAAAGTGTGATAATGCTAAAAGCTGAAAATTGCCCTGGTCAGGAAGGGGGTAAAAGTGTCCGGTCTGGAAGTGGTTAAGCTTGCCTCTAGTACTTATATGTGTAATGCTCACCCCCGAAAGGGCCCACTGTGTAGTCCTAGGTTCTTTTCCCAAACTAATGTAGCAGCACCTAAGCACACAGCAGCGGTTGCTGTTCTGGCTTAGTGATCAGTCTAGGGGTGACTTTTTTATTTCTTAATATTTATTGCTGAATTAGCCTGGATTCTGATCAGGGGATCTGTGGGCTACTCCAGTAGCACAATATAAAAACACAAGGACAATTCTCACTTTTTCAAAGCTTCTTGCAGCAGCAACTAGGGGACTAATCCACACTGAGACATCATAGAAAATGTCCAAATTTGAGCAAGAACTGACACTGATGCACAGAGAATAGTAGCAGTACACAGTCACTAGGATCTTACACACAGGTCTGTACTCACAAATGTCTCTGAATACTTGGATGCTTCCTTCCAATATCAGTCAAACATTTCTCCCATGAACTCTCAGGACCAGATCCTCAGTGAAATCCCAGCAAAGTCCAGTAAAACAGGCCCCACACAGCTGGGACCGCAATGAGCACTTGAGCAGGACCCCAGCTTAAGCATAGCTGGAACCTCGATGAGTAAATGTAGAGTCACAGCTGGACTGCCCAGAAGGATGGCAGCCCTTCAAGCTGGAAACTTCTTCTCCTGGACAAGAACTCTGCTGGTCCAGTCCAGGCCTCAGACTATGTATGCACTCCCCAGCCACCTACTGGGCACACTTCCCCAGGGAGTGGCTGGAACCACATAAATATTCAGCCTGCGCTTGGACTTTCCCAGTCTACTGCATACCAGAATCCTGCAGAAGGCAGGGAGAAGAAGCCAAACCTGCAACCAGTGAAACCCAGAACAGCCCAAAATAATCACAAGTTGCTTCACTGATTACTGGGGAGCCGCAAGAACTAAATTTACCTAACCTAACTAGCAACCTGTCTAAGAGGGTGCTACATCTGTATATAAAATTAGGCATCTACATTTATGGAAACCATAATCCAAAGATACTTTGTACCTAAAAGTAAAACAGTACATGGTTGCTGCTTTTCTGTAAAAAAAACATCCTCCATAATGGCCACCAAACACTGCAAAATGGTACAAGGGTTATATGCACATACTCCTGCAGTCAGAGTGTTTCCTGGCCAAGGGCCCAGCATTCATGGGCACTGAGTAAAACTGTGTTTTGTCCCCTAGCTTGGCTCTCAAATAATTGTGATTTTACTCTCTTTTTTTTCTCTGTACCTTTGTGCAACATCAAGCATCTTCCATTACCAGATTTGAGGAAAGGCACAAAAGTTGTGGCCCATGACATCAAATGGCAGGGAGTTCTCAAGCTGCTTTCCATTTTATTATTGCTACTGCTTTGCCCACCTGCACGTATACTGTACATTTTCCTTTCAGTTAACATTATTATATGTTTAAAGATATTTTACCAGACTGCCGTTGCTAACCTTTGAATGAGGTTTCCTGTTTTGGGCTGTTATCCTCACTTGACAGGGGACATGCATGTCCCAAATACAATGACTGGCCAAAAAGTGAGGCTAGGCTCAGGATAAAATTCATCAATAGCTTGTGATTCCTTTTGATTATCCAAAACTGAAAACTTTTTTGGTTGTCATACAGAAAAAAAGAATATGCAAACTCTTACAATGAATATCTTTTCTCCCTTTTGGTCCTTTAAAGTGGAACTTCACTCTCTTAGTTAACATTTACTATTTAATTCTTCTGCTGATAGCATTAGTAAATAGGTATGTATATCATATTTACGTGTTTAAAACTTTTTTGTACATTTTCTTAAGTTACTATATCTGTTCAGTAAGTGCAAAAATATCTGTTGATCCTTCCAGAAATCCTGCCATTTAATAACTTCCTGTGCTCTATGACTCTGCTGCACCCTTACAGTTACATTGTTCCCAGCTATTTCTGTGGCCTACAAAACACCTCTTTTTTGGTTTGGAGCAGATAAGTGAGGGAGGTGTTCTGTCCTAGGATGGCAATGTTTCACCTCCCTAGATAGATATAGTACAGTGAGGAAGCATTGTCACCCCAGGACAAGAAGTGTGTTACTGGCAGGATCACCAAGTGAAGAAATGCTGAAACTGGAAAAATTAACAAATGCAGCTGTGACATCTAAGAACTGGTAACCTTCAATATATTATATTTTTGTTTGTGGGTGTAGATATGTTTTAAAGTCTTCCTACATACATATAATGGTCAATTGTATAGCAGTATGTAAGGGGTTATTTAATGCTTTTTTTGTCATGTTTTTTTTAATTGCAGAAAAATGTATGTTTATTGAAGTTGCTACATAGCATTAGTACTGTAATAATGTATGAAATACAGACTGTCATTAGCTGTCAGTCCTTCAGCAGACATAACAAAATATACATTCTTCCAGAAAAGTATTTTATATTTGGAGACATTCATGGGAATTTCCACTTGAAGTCAAATAGTTTTCGTTTCTATCTTTGGCTTCTATATAAAATCCTTGTCTGACTTTACAAAAATAGCACAGACATTTCCCAACAGCTCCCATGTCAGGGCCAAGTTCAGAAAAGACCCACATGTACAGTGAAAAGGAACACAATTTAACTGCTGAAAAATTATTAACTATGATGTGTTGCCAGCTCAGATGAGCATCAATCTGCCAGGTCAGCCTTGTCGTGGCTAAATCTTCAACCTACATGACGTGGAAATGGTTTACTTATCATGAATCATACTGCTGTGTGGTCACATATTTCCCATGTAGGGTCCCATGTCCATTTAGAATTCTTTATAGCTGTTACATTAATACATGTGGACTGGGGCCTCTGATTGGGAACATCAGCATGTGGATTTATGTTAATGTGATACGTATGTTGATAAAAGGAATGGAAATAGTAGGAAAAATAAAAATGGTGTGTTTATTGTCTCCCCAAAAGGAGTGAGAAGTTCTTTTGAATAAATCTGCTGTGGATAAATAAGGGTTTTACAATTTTTACCTTTCTTCAGTTGTCTGCTTGCTGTGGACAATCTGGCTTCTATATTTTGCGTTTCTGACCCAACTCAGCATATGCAAATCATACATATCAAAAGAATTTTGTAAGTGACTTACAATGTTGAATCAGAGGGTCAGAATCCGACTGCCAGGCAACTAGCATCTGCAGAATTAGTCAGTAATGGGATTGGTAATAGAAGCCTCTGTGTTTATTTTTTTTTTTTTTTTTTTTTTTTTAAAGGTTTTCTTTAAATTGAACCTGTATTTTCCCATGCAAGGAAAGTAACAATTTTTCTTAATTGTCACCTCTGGTGGCAAGTAACCTTGTTTCAGCTGCAGTATGGTAATTATTGTTACTCTGGTGTGACATCTTTTTGATGCGTACCAATTTGAATTTTTTGTTCACTACTTGTATTTTTTCCTTTTCAGACTGTGGATTGAATGTACATAAACAGTGTTCCAAATATGTGCCCAATGACTGCCAGCCAGATCTGAAGCGCATTAAGAAGGTATACAGCTGTGACCTTACCACTCTGGTGAAAGCACACAATACCCCAAGGCCCATGGTGGTGGACATGTGTATCCAGGAGATTGAGCAGAGAGGTGAGCCATTTATTCCCGTCCATTGCTTCTTCCAATTATACACCAATCTAAAGGTTGCATGGTCTTTATCTCTCTTCCCCTGAGATAAATGGGCATTGAATTATCACAAACCCAATTATAGCTATCATGCTGTTCTCTTATACATAGACCTCTATCTGTAAGGCAACAGCCATCTTTGTCATTACAGAGCATGTGAGCAGGTAGTATAAGAGAAACCCTTTTCCAAGCTTATAATTGTCTGAGAGATCCTGATAAGCCTTCTGTTGGAAGAGATTTCTAATGTGGACTTTTCTACTGTCCTTATCAATGTAGATCGTAATCATATTCTGTTATAAACCTTTAAAGGAGTCAATCGCTACAAATCTATACGTTATGTTTTGAAGCGAATACTCTGTGTAACGCCTCATACACACAATGAAAATATCGGATGAATAATTGTCCGTATTTTATGCATTCTAGTCTCATATTGAAAATGAAGAGGTTACTAAAGCTACGAAAATTCTCTTAAGACAGAATACAACTTTGGAAGTGATATAATGTATTGTATTGTAATGTGTTTTTTTTGTTTCCAAGCACGCATGGTCTTGGTCACTCAATGTTTTACAGACTATCTTACAAGAAAAATTTTAGTGATTGTCCCTTCAGATAATTTCACATAAACTGTCGCGATCAGCTCTTGAAAGCTGTATTCTAATGATCATATTATCGGTCAATCGCTCCGAAAGCAGTATTTTTCATCCAATTTTCTCTTCATGTGTACTAGGCAAAAGGGATGTTAAATACAGTATGTTCATCTAGATCAAGATAACATTACTAGCAGTATGATGTGCAGTTTAGAAAATAAGGAAAATCATCGGGGTGCTTCTTTAACATAGTACTCTTGAATACACGTATACTTATTTCATGATTTATCATATTTTCTTAAATAAGAACTGCCAGTATTGTTCCATAGCAACAAATATCTCCTTTTCCAGAGAGGTTTCTGTGCTCTGTGCAATCAATTATGAAGTATGTGTTATTTTAGAATACATTTGTGTGCTTTAAATACCGTACTTAAGCTCCATTTATTGATGTCAATGCGGAAACTGCCCTTTTCCCAAGTTATAGTTTTATAACTCTCCCACCTCCCTCCTTCCCTGGTACCTAGTGACTATAGAGGCCTGTAACAATGATTCTGAGCAGGAGAAAGTGTTCTTCACTGAAGAGAAATAGGGAATTTCCCAGGCTGCAGCTGCAGGACCCATCACTACTTCCCTCCCAGATGTTAGCAATTTTTAAACTGCAATATACATTGAATCAAATCAAACATAAGAGTGCGCTAAAAAAACATGTGCAAGTCCATAAATCAAATATGTGAAAGTTCAATATATATAGCTCATGTGACAAATATATAACACCGTGAGCAATCCACCACCAAATCAATCGAATACACTCACCAGAGCTAAGTGCTGATCAAATTATAGACCAGCCTTAGCGCTTTTGCTCTGGGAGCGAAGAAAACAGCAACCTCCAGACTTTAGATGTAATATTCTGCAGTATTAGATTCTAGCTGATAGACACCCTTCTATAGTGTAGGCAGGAAATGAGGAGGAATACTCTGCAGCCACTCTTCCATGAGTGGGCAATCGCCACAGCTCCATGTATATCAGGACCGCATTAAAAAATAAAGAAGAATGTAATCGTGCAGCATGTCTTTACAACATCTATTTATTAAAAGGTTTAAAATCCATTCACAAATAAGGTGTTTAGCTGACACCAGCATCAATCGCATAGGCACTGAAAAGAACCGCAGCTCCATTCGTTCAGCTGTCTCCCGATAATAGCAGGGAGCGTCCTGACGTCCGCATCCAACAGACCACGCCCTACGCATTTCGTCAACACGACGTCCTCACGGGGCGGTACGGATGCAAACGTCAGACCATTCAAATATATACCGCATGCATTGCGGTGACATCTCAATCAGTGTCAGCGGCATTAAATTTACAACCACTGCTCCAATACTACATCATACTTTATTACCATTGTATGTAGTGGACATATCCTCCAAACTAAACACCATGGTAATCACACATAAATATATACATCAAAAAACACAGAATTTGGAAAATCATCTAACCCTACGGACAATCAAGTCCGTTTAAAGGGTCATACTTCCCTATTAAAGCATCACTCTACTCAAAAAATAAATTTAAGAAAAAAATAAAATTAAATAAAATAAAAACTACACAATTTAATATTAGAAAGTTGAATATAATCCTCGCCAAACAATTATGAACACAAAACTATATTTATATTAATCATTAATAAAAATATATAGAAAAAAATAAATCTATAAAAATGAAAAAAATGTATAAAAAAAAACCATCAATAATATATATAATGAATAAATTCATCTACCTATTATTCATTAAATCCAATATATTCAAAATGCAGGAAATAGATATATATATAGCCTTCATACCCTCAAAATTTTTTTAAACTATTTAAATCGATGCCTATATTCAACCCATTTCAAGGTTTCAAGGAATGTAAATTCATATATCTAAAAAGTCTCCTTTTTGGATATCTCTTTAATCATATCTGTACCTCTCCAATGTTTTTTTATTTTTTCAATCCCATAGAAGGTATGGGATTTAGTGTGGTTTGAAAATTCGATATAGGTATATATTAGTGACGAAACCCGTAGGGCATGGTCTGTCGGATGCTGACGTCAGGACGCTCCCTGCTATTGTCGGGAGACAGCTGAACAAACGGAGCTGCGGTTCTTTTCCCTGCCTATGCGATTGATGCTGGTGTCAGCTAGACACCTAATTTGTGAGTGGATTTTAAACCTTTTAATAAATAGGATGTTGTAAAGACATGCTGCACGATTACATTCTTCTTTATTTTTTAATGCGGTCCCGATATACATGGAGCTGTGGCGATTGCGCAATCATGGAAGAGTGGCTGCAGAGTATTCCTCCTCATTTCCTGCCTACACTATAGAAGGGTGTCTATCAGCTAAAATCTAATACTGCAGAATATTATATCTAAAGTCTGGAGGTTGCCGTTTTCTTCGCTCCCAGAGCAAAAGCGCTAAGGCTGGTCTATAATTTGATCAGCACTTAGCTCTGGTGAGTGTATTCGATTGATTTGGTGGTGGATTGCTCACGGTGTTATATATTTGTCACATGAGCTATATATATTGGACTTTCACATATTTGATTTATGGACTTGCACATGTTTTTTTAGCGCACTCTTATGTTTGATTTGATTTATCCATATTTTTGGAGTTAGAGTTGCTGCTGTATAATTGGAGGGTGTGGCGCTTTTCTAAATACCAATTTTGCAATATACTTTGAGATGAAAATAAAAAAAACAGTATGTTTGTTTGCAAGACATTGGATGATGAAAGTCAGTAGAGCGTCACCTGATTCACTAAGTGAAAATTCCCTTTCAAAGCGAACAGGTTATTTGTCTTTAGTACATTAACACCATGCAGTCAAAATGTGGCCAAGTTCTAAAAGTAATAACAAAGACTTCCAGCACATACTCATTACTGATAGTGAGGTCACTATCAAACTATCACAAGCCATAAAACACTGTCACTTCCAGCACTCTGACTTCCGCCAAAGTAAAAAGGGGCCATGAATGATGAACTGTGAACTCCACCGGAGATCTATAGTTGATGCATCCCTCCTCAGATGGGGAAATCTTGTAGCAACTACAAAAAGAACAAACAGGACAGCGCAAACGCCTAGTGCATTACCAGTGATTTATTGTTTATAAAACAAAACTGATGCCAAATGAATACTTACAAAAGTGGAGAATAAAATCACATTAGAATCGCACATTGCCATGCAATCTTGCTGAGCTGACAAGATGACTCTTTTCAGGGGCATGCACCCTTCCTTAGAGCTATGCTGGAGCATCCCTAAAAAAACAAGTTTAGGAGACCTGGGGAGGGCCCCAAGGGATTCCTTTAATTTTTCAGGGATTTCCTCTCATTCCCTGTCTTGGGTATGGGACAGGAAGTGAAGATAAATCTCCCCAATGGGACACAGATGGCAAAAAAAACTTATAAGGGTTATAGTCCTCCTTTACTCTATCCAAAAAAAGTTTTGCCTATAGTTCTACTTTTAAGTCAAGAGTAAAAGTGCATCTTGTTCCTTTCCCCTTAAAAATATCTTGTATTTTTAAGCTGGCCATACATAGATAAGAATTCGGCTAGTTCTGCAGGTTCTGGCTGAATTTGGATTCATGTATGGGCAGGGTGGTTGTACAGAAGTTGATCTACCGATTGCCTTCTGCACAACCGCTATTTCAGATTTTTTTCAGCTCAGTCAGCACCGCTGGCAGCGCTTGTCAGTATTTTCTGGCGGTGGGTCAAGTCTCCCTGCTGTCAGAACACAAAGGCATATTGGGGAGGGTTCTCCCATCCACACTGGATGTATACATTTAACCCACTAGATATGGATATGCAGTAAAATTATGCTTCTAATTAATTCTAATGATTTTCTGCAGTGTTTTGCCTCCAGTTGATCCCAATGCATTTCTGTAAAATTTCACTTACGTAAGAATTTAAATTTTGGTCATTCTTCTAGTAAGTTTGTATCAAAATATGTAACAATGTAGATAGATTTATTGCATTTTTTCCACTTTCTGCTTATAGGCTTGACGTCAGAAGGCCTGTACAGAGTTTCAGGTTTTACAGAGCACATTGAAGATGTAAAAATGTCGTTTGATCGAGGTGAGTTATTAGTAAACATCAGTGATGGAATGGATTGTGTCTGTGTTGTGCTAGGTAATGTTTTATTTCTTATATCAGTTTTACTCTTCATTGGATCTCTTTACTGTTATGCTGGAAAATATAAAATTATTATGATATAATAAAATACAGTAATTTTGTTCAGAAATAAATACAATAAAACTACAATTTTATACCAGGTGGTTAACAGGTAACAGGTCTTTGAACTCAAAAGTGTCCTCTATTATAGTGTAGTATATGCCTAACTTTATTTAGTTTTGAATAAACCGTGAAGGTTAGATAGATAGATAGATAGATAGATAGATGGATGATAGATACAGTAGATAGACCATTTGTGTACATTGAATGGATGCATGTAGGCCCTGGGATTTAGGAGCCCATTAAGAGTCGGGAGGGTAGTGGGGGCACCCTCTCACTGTTCCATTGACCAAGGCACTACCTACATTTTGGGCAGGAGCCTTTCTTCATGAAGACCTAAATGTTCTATTGGTCTGCTAGTAACCTGCATCTGTATACGCAGCAAATACATGTTTGTACTTATGTATTTAAAGGAGAAGTACAGCTAAAGCTCTTTTGCCTGTACTTCTCCTGTGAATTACAGTTCGTTCAGCACTCCTGTGACCCGCTTTCAGCTGACAGTGGGCTGAAGCCCTCTCGGCTGACGTCACACAGGCTGGGGAAAGATTCCGACTTTATAGTAGGGATCCACCCCAGAGTCCGCACCTGGCTCAGCCTTTCAGCGGTGTGCTGAGAGCCAGAGCCAGCTGTTCCTTCCCCCTTCACAGCCCAGCACTCCAGTGAGGGGGCAGAGCAGACAGTGGTGACTGACAGTCACCGCTCTCTACTCAGAACAGCTGTGAGAACTCAGCTATCAGTGGTCATATGATCACTGTGTTCTCACCCTTAGAGCCGGCAGGGGACAGATGCAGAATCAGACCGATGCAGCATAATAGGTAAGTATAATTGGGGGGGAAATAACCCACACTTCTCTTTTTAATTGAATTAGGGAACACAAATTGTTTTTGCCCAGGGGCCATTGCTGACAAGAGATGCCACTGGTTAGAAGCTTTATGTTTTATTATTGTCAGTATCTCTGTGTTGAAGGTTTTCTCACTTCCAGGGTGGTCATCAGGATAGAGAGAAGATGAGATCTTCTCCACAGAACTCAGACAGCAATAACCTGACAAACATTCTCCCACTCCATTCAAACTTTGATAATAAAGATGTATGCTACAGTTTCACTTTAAAGTACATCTCAACATAACATTTTGCTTTAATTTTGGCTACAGTGGGGAATGTTTAACCACTTAAGCTCTGGAAGGTTTTACTGTACACTGTACGCAAATTAAATTTATATAAATTGTTTTCACACAAATAGAGGTTTCTTTTCGTGGTATTTGATCATAACTGGGTGTTTATTTTCTAAACTAAAAAACAGAAAATTTGGGGGGAAAAATCTCCTATAAAATGTTCAAGAAAAAAAAATATTAAAAAAATGTTTTCATAAATTTAGGCCAAAAGTTATTCTGCTATGTCTTTGGTAAAAACAAATCCCAATGAGTGTATATTAATTGGTTTGTGTGAAAGTTATAGGATCTACAAACTATGGTGTATATATACTGGAATTTACAGTAGGTATAAACCTCCTTCATTACAATGATGTTGTTTGGATTTTCTTAACCCCCTGATAGGGCCACTTTAAACTCCATTTTCTGTTCTGTGAGACAACCAAAATGTGATATTATGTCTCAGCTGCCGTTCAAAGGTCCTATGTCAACCCAGGATATAAACTATGGGCAGTATAATGCTGAGAACTTTGTTCTTCAACTTATAAACACAATTTTTACTAGTCCTCAATGTAACCAAGTATTTTTTTTAAAAAAGCCATCACATTAATACACAGAGATATTTTTCCACTCTAGAAGAAGTGAAGGGTATTTTTGGAAAAGAGACTATGGATTCAGTTTCAGCTCTACAAAGTGCAAGCCATTTTGTTCAATGGAGTGGAAATCTTTGCAAATGCATTTTGATATTTGTAATCAATCCCCTTAGTACCAATAAGGTGACTCTATAAAATATTTATGTTGATGCCTGTTTGGAAAACAGTTTTAGGTTTCACAAGGAGTCCTGTCTTTTAGAAAAAGACATTCTCATCATGTTACTGTCCTTATTAACACAGAGGAGGGGAAACCATAAAACCTGTTTTCTGCTACACATATACTCTATGACATCACAAAATGTAGTCATTTGTGAAGTGGAGGAAAATTAAATATTTCATACTGTCACAGTCTCACTGAATAAAATATTTATATATGTAACATGCTGTGCTATAAATATATATTAAAAACAATATGCTGATTAAAAATATAATGTTGCTATATTACTATCAATAAAGGATATACAGTATATGCAAACACAAAATGTGTGAGTCCATTATTATTAAAGTCCAAGATAATCTGTGCAAACAAATTTGTGAAACAAACTGCAATGTGCAAAAAAATTCTCCCAAAAAAGTGTGCTCAATAAAATCCCATTTGAAAGTGCACAGTGCCCCTGTAATGAGGGCCCATTTGTAGGGTAAGCAAATACCCTTTGTGGTCTATGCTGGAGGCCTTTACATGACCTTTCAAATAGGTTTTATTTTTTGCAATTTTTTGGGAGAATTTTTTTTGGACATTGTGGTTGGTTTCATGGATTTGTTTGCACAGATTATTTTACGCTCTAATAATCACAGATTCACAAACTTTGTTTTCATCTATATCCTTTATTGATAGTAATATAGCAATATTTTGTTGTATTATAGCAACAATCCGCTCATTGCTTTTTATATATATTTATAGCACAGCACTTTACTTGTTTTTATAATTTCCATAAAATTTGTTTTTATGTGTGAGTGTATGCAAAACTTTATAATGGCACATGCTAAAAATTTGCCATTCACTTTAAGTGAATACCAGCCAAAAAATGATAGTAAAATAGACTCTCTTCTATAGCCCATAAAGCCAGTTGCTCTATTAATTTTAATTTTCTTTATTGTTTTGCATTTAGAGAATTACATACTTTATTAACCTCAAACCCCAACTCTGGGCTCCATGTTCCCTCCCACTCAAGAGGACCCCCAATTCCCTTATAGCTCCCACCAGCGGTATGCGTTTACTTGCCTTTTTCTGATGTCTTCTGGCTGGTAATATGAGGTGCTGGGTCCTCTTTGGTCTTTTCCTAGTGATGGGTGGCCCTGGATAATACAAAGAACAACGCTGACATAATGACATGACACACTGCTGTAATGCAGGGCACCTTGTTCAGGGGACAGTACTATGTGTATTTAGTTTAGATATCCATTTCACAAGTAAATAGTGATTGCTCAGTTCCATGTCATATATGGGTCATATTCCTGGATGGCTGCTCAAAGGAGCATCTTTGCTAAGGTTGCCTTAAAACATGTATTTTTGATTATGGTCTACTCAGCCACAGTCAGCGTCCATGCTTTTCATAGCTAATATACAGTATTTGTGTTCTCTTTGGCATTGAATAGGTTATAAAGTGATCCAAGGGCTGGGCAGTCACATGGTCAGGGCATGTGAAACAGGTGCAGCATGTTTTGGATCAGACGGTCAGGCCCATTTGTGTGAATGGTTCTCACTGATCCCGTGTTGACAGAGACAATTCATTGAGAAATGACTTTCACAGAACAAAGGAGCAGTTTAATGTCCTGATGGGTGCAGCTGCTGTTTTTTTTTTGTTCCTAAAATGAGTTTAATTGTTTATTGAGAGTGCAGATGAAAGCATAGCAAATAATGAGATACATCATTACTGTCGCTGTTAGAAAATAATACAGAGCTTTTGCTACAGCTGTAAGACCCAATGCCACCTACCAGGCTGCCATTTCAAGAACTGTGCTCTTAATTACTCACCTTGCACAAACTAGCTTTACCGGACATGTTTCTTTTCTGAAGTTATTTTGCTTTACTGACCATCGATTGCTGGATGGCTCTTTGGGAGCAACAGGCAGGAACTAGCTTCTATTTCCTAAGAAACTCAGTAAATAAGTTGTAGTGCCATACACCTGGTTTAGCCAGAATGCAGATAGATTTTCCAGCTTGTTAGAAAGTCCCCGTGTGCGATAATAGAGCTTCTGATGTCAGAACTGGATATGGCCACCCCTCATAGGCATACCCCTAAACAGCTCAATATCCACCTGAATTTCATGCATGGTCATGGGATTGGGTTGGAATGAAATTAGTTTAATCTGCATTGCCACTCTAATCCTAGCTCTTGATATTTGTTCATCTGAAATAGTGCCAACTCACCCCAGACTATGAAAAGGTACAGTACAACAGCCTTTCTCAACTAGAGTGCCTTCAGGCTTCTTCACAGGTGTCTTGGTAAAATGCCCAAAAATGGTATACAAGCCAGCAGGTGGATCAATGCTGCCTTTTAGTTTTTATTGTGCACTTTTATGACCTTCTAGCTGCCAACATCCTAAGAACCAATGACATAATCAGTTGATAAGGAGGACATCGGGTACATGCACTTCATCCTTGTTTGGCCCTCCCCTGACCTTCTTTGTCAGCACTGGGGTCACATTATCAGAGTGTGGGAGAGAAAATGAGAGAGACACACTGGAATACTAGTCAGTAACAGTGTGCAAAGGTGTATTTGCTTTGGAAGAATAAATCACCTCTAATACTGAGTGTACAGGATGTGTGTAGAATAGTTTTTTACATTTTAGATTGGGGTTCCTTGAGATTGTGCAGAATTTTAAAGGGTGCCTTGACTGAAAAAAGGTTGAGAAACACTGCAGTATTTTTATGTTTCACATTATAACCTGTGTTAAGGAAAAAACTTCTATAAACTGCTGGCCTATATGCACAGTTGCACACCACCATGTTTCTTTCCTATTTTTAAAAATAAATCCCAGTGTCATGCTGGTCTTACATCTTGGGCAGCCTAGAAAGATTATAAAGTCTGCAGGCTGTGAA